TCGGATAGATATAAGTTTTTATAAATAATAATATTTATTAAATTTATTTAAAGACTAGAAAATTAATAAAAATTATAATACTGAATAGTGCTAATATGAATTAAAAATAATTAATTTATAAAAAAAAGTTTGTAAAATAGTTTTATATAAAAATTACATTATTATGAATAGACAATAATATTTCATTAAAATAAGTATATAAAATAAAATATGTCCATGTTTATCACAATTTTGAGATTAAATGTACATAAAAAACAATAAATTATATATTATAAAAATAAAATTTAAAACTCTAGATATTATTAATATAAATATTCTTAACATCAGTCTTATTCCAGGGACTGAATCCGGGAATAAATGCTTTAGAGTGCTCCCGTGTCCGACCATACATCAAGCGGATATCCCGGGCTTTCTTACTGTTCACAAACGGACTAACTTTAAGTAACAGTGCGATCAATGAAGCGCTCCTGACCACCACAAACTGAATGACCAGTAGTTGTGTATTGATATAAAAGTCATTATCCGTCACATCAAACAAGTGTAACACAAACGAGAACTCCCTGTCCGAGCAACGGTCGAACCCATAGAACGCCAGCATAATGCACTCCAACACCAATTTGAGCGGGGACAGCATGGATAACATTTGTAGGCTATAATGTAGTTCATTAATGGGTATTAGGAAGTTGCTGAACAAGAAGGTCACAATGAATACGCCTATTGACGTAAATACAGCCAACCGTTGTTGACCATCGAATAATATGCCGATAAAGTGACCCAGACTTTGGATCTCGAGTGCCCCGATAGTTAAAAATATGAAATAGGTGGTGAACATGCTATGTTTACTGTCGTAAATATCGCCGATGTATGAGAAACACATCAGTATTAAAACGGTAGGGATCAACTCAACAATGGCTTTGGACCAGTAGTAGACGCCGGTGCTGTACCACACTATTCAATGGGTAGATAGATATTAATTATAAATGTATGATATGATAAAACAATTAATTAAATTTATATTGCATTCTAGCATTATATTCTAAATTTGCTAAAACAAATAGATAGCTTCAGTTGTGAGTTTGAATTTGAGTTATAATGTAAACTCTAAACAACATGTAAACTGCACCCTGAAAAAGTACTGTGATGATTAAGTTAGCATTTTGAAATTTAGGTAGTAAACTTGGTAATCTTAAAGTACTATAAGTTTTAACGAACCAGAGATTCATAACACAAACTATACTTTTAATTACCATTTCGTTGCTCATTGAAGAATGTCTTCAAATCGGCCGAAAACGTAAGCGTTGTTAAGACGAGTTTGAAAAACAATATGACGACTACGAGGAAGAAGTTATACTTTATATTATTGTCCACCAGCTCCTCATCCCGGATACTTTTCTCGCTTTTAGCGCATGTATTGTTAAAATCGTCCTCAAAATTGATGCACGCCGAGGGAACTCCTATATCTGAATTAAATATAAACCGCAAAAACACGGCCGTGCCCGTGAATACCAGGAATTGTAGTAATAAGAATCGCCAATAATAGCGGTAAGTATAAGTTATATTTCGCGACAATAGTAGCCATAAGTCCTTTAAAAGGAAACGTTTGGTCAGTCTCTGGACGCCATCGGGACTGACAATCGTCTCGTCAGCGCATCGATCGCTAATCACTCGGTTTTCCGACACCC